CCCCAAAACCCCAAAACCCCAAAACCCCAAAACCCCAAAACCCCTCTAACCTGCCTAAGAATTGATAGATAAATTAGAATTAATATATTAAAATCTAAATATAAAATTATGGACCCAAGTTGACCATCAACTGTCGAATTTGTTCCTGACACTGAACAAGGAAGTAAGGATTGACTCACAGTGTAGTTCTAACATACTTGCAAAATCAGTTAAAATTATTCAAAAAAGAGTAAAATTTTGGTTAATATTTAGATATATTGAACACAAATTGCAGAAATTTAGGAAGAGTTTGGCTACTCCAGGTAAGTTCAAACAGTTAAATACGCCAATAGAAGAAAAGTACAAAATTCGATTCAAGGAAGACTTTATCGAAATCCGGAAATCAGTATGAGACGGTCTACGTAAGCAAAGTCCAAAGAACTATAGAAAAAATGTTATGGGATTTACACGAAAAGGATAACAAATAAAGGTATTGTGCTTTTTCAGGATATTATACTTGATTTCAAGCTTAAATCTGGTGAAATTAACTGCCATTGATCATGAATCAAGTATTTATAATCCTTTTACTTAGACTATCTGCTAAAATGCTTTCAATGGTATCATAAAGTCAGGTGATCAGATCCAAATTTCAGGGCTGCGAAGATTATCAAAAAGACTCAGGCAATTTGCCTCAAAGTCGGATCACGAGAGAAAACAATGGAGAAATACGAATCTCGAAATTCAAGCGCAAGAGAGTCTAAAACTACCAGTAAGTTACTCCTAATAACCCAAATACAAATAAACCCATATAGAATTTGAAAATTTTATCAAACTGAAATAAGACAGAAATCAAAGCTAGGAAGAGAAGAGTCAATGTTCTAATCAAATTGGACACAAAGACAAGGACTATACCTCTCCCTGAACCCCCAAAGAAAAGCCTTCAAGTGTTGATCAAGAAAAACCTTCTAGAGTAAGCCTTATGGGATAAAAATAGTCCTAAAAAGCCTAAAAATAAGGAAGAGTCGACTAAAATAAATGCTCAGAGTATTTCAGAATCATTTCTTCGGAAATTCTTGCTCGAAAAGGCTAGATCCGTAAACCCACAACAGATAAAGTTAGTAAAAAAATGTAAAATTTTAGAAAGAAAAATCCCATAATTCTGAAGACAAAGAAGAACCATCTGAAGAGACAGAGTAAGGACAGAGAGATAATCTTTAGACGAGCTCAGGAAGAGTATTTTAGAGTCAAAGAAAAGAGTCGAGGATATCAAGAGAAGAAACCAGGTTTTAGAACGGCAGAAGTTGCATAAACTTGCCAGATCACAGCTGCAGTCTCGAGCTCCTTCAGCATTTAGCCTATCTGCTGAGGAATTTGAGAAGAAAAATAAGAAGTTTATGAGCAAGATGATGGGCAATACTATCAAGCTATAGCAGAGTAAGTGCTCAAGCTTATATATAGGATTATGCCACAGAGACGATCTGTCGATGGGAGAATTCGGCCCACTAAGATTAATTTCGTACCAAGCTGAGGTAACTTCAATACTGCTGAGAAGGAAGTCCCGTTACAAGAAACAACCATTAATTAAGAATCTCGGGATATCGCAGACAGAGGATCAAGGATTGTTTGAACATTAAAATTAATTTGATCATAACAAGAATGAGAGTTTCAACCTCCATGGCAAGACTGGGGTTTTGGGGTTTTGGGGTTTTGGGGTTTTGGGG